AAAACTGGTAAAATTCGTTCATCTTCATGCTGAAATATAATTCTATGTTTGATTCGAGGTCTCATAAACTATAGTATAAGAAAATGGTGTCTGTTAAGAAAATCAAAAAAAACCACTTATTCTAAATATAAGAAAATGGCTGGTTCGAGCTCTCTCAGAACTGTAAAAGCTGATTTGATTTTCTACAATGACAAAATCAGAAAATCAGAATAACAAAAGAAGTCAAATTATACTCAACTCCAAGAATGGTTTATGAAGGAGATGATTTTGCTGAAGGATTCAATGGAATAATCAACTTTCATAATTTATAATAGTAAAGGCTTTAATAAAATTAAATTTGATTGAGTTTTTGTAATCTTATCATTAATGGTTAAAGCAGACTTTAATATTTTATATATGAAAGGTTTTAAATACAAGTAAAATGACTGAAAAGTCAGCTTAATAAAATAAAATAAATCAACGGCTATTTATTAACATTTATTGAATTGTTTAAACTGAAAAATATTTTAAGATAGTTTCCTAAAGTAGGACAATCTTAATTGGTTGGAAAAAAATAAAAATAAGGTACTATTGATAAATAAAGGTGATCATGATCAAAGGGAGCAATAAGAGCTTCATGTTGGTGGTACGCAGATCAGCGATAACTTGACAGCAGGGCCTTGTCTTCACACTAGGGAGGAGATATCGCGGTTTATCTCCTTGGCTTCAGCAATTATGTTGTCTCTGGAAAGCCTGACAAACTTGGAACAAGGGGGAAAGATCCCGGTTTATCTCCATGGCTTGAGCGATTATGTTGTCTCTGGAATGCCTGATAAACTTGGAACTCTGGTAAACATTGTGTGGCTAGATGTAAGCAGCGCCTACTGCTAGGCTAGATATCTGTAACTTCGGTTAAGGAGCTAGGTTGTCCTTCTGAGCCGGAGCTGTTAACATCTCAACTGTTTTATCCTAACTTTCTCTATCCTCCCCAACAGGCAGAAAAGGGGGGGGAGGAGGAACCCAAACTACACATGCCAAATCTAGAAAAGGATTTCTGTATCTGAAAACATAGACGGTCTGCTCTAATATACAAGCTGCACAAAGATCATCTTCCTTATAGGTGGAATTTGTTTTAACAACCCTGCGTGGGTTTAGTGCTTTTTGAACTTTGGAAAAAACAAACTAATGCAATTTGTATAGGTGGATCTGTTTCAACCAGTCATGATGTATTTTTTTACCCATCTGGAAGCAATAGAAAATTTGAAAAATATTGAGTTTCCAGGTATTTCATGGCAAAGTACTGGCTCATTTATAACTTGATTTTTACAAAGCTGTTTTAGTTTATTATTGTTTTTGTTTTTTATTCTTTTTTGATATTTTATATTTTGGACTTTTGGTTTTTCTCAAATTATATGTTCCGAATGAAGTATGAGACACGCTAAATCATTTCAGGAAAGAATTGAAAGTTTTCTGAGTGTTCTTTGATTGAGCCAGTTGTTTGCCATGATGAGCTGGGAGGTGCCGACCATAGCACTAATGATTGGCATGTTTTTTTCAAGCAAACTATGTCCTTTTTACAGGATTGAATCCTGGGTAATATTACTTTAGTAGTAATTTTAAGTTGTTGCATGCAGATTTGGCTGTGTTCAATTCAAATCGATTTTTTGTTCTTGTGTTTTACAAAATTTATACTTCCAACAGCTGTAAGATGAATGATATGAGTCAATTCATTGAATATGTGTGCCAATCGCAAAAGAGTATCTTTTAAGTACCTGGTTTAATTACAGATTAAATTGCAAGAAATAATCATTATAGTTTCTGGAAAAAAAACATAAAAATACTTAGGTAAATAATAAATTCAATCATCTACATTGAAAAAGGACAGATAATGTTACCTTCTCTCTTGAAGTTGTATATTCTAAGTACATTTGTACAGTTTGTACTCTATAAACTCAACACAAATAAAATACAGTTCAGAACTTTCTTTACATTAAATGTTTACAATAGCCTTGAGAATTGAGAAAGATAAAAATACTTTTTTAAAACTAACTATAGTATAATAAAATTTCTGCAATAACTCTATTGGTTTTCTTATTCCTGTGATACTGATTTTAGCCATTCTTTCTTTCTTTTCATTCTGCAGGGGGGGCGCGCCCCCCCCCTCTCAGGTGCTAGGAGAGGGCGCGCCCGGCCGCCCCCCCCCTAGTTGCACCTCTGGTAGGGTTTCCAGTTGTAATTATGTTACATGTAATTACATGTAGTTTCAAGTAACAATTTCTGTTACTTATGGAGGAGCATTACGCTAAATTACATGTTGATTACGAATATGAAAGAAAGTCTAGTGTAGCGTAATTAAGACGTAATATCGCAAAATTATGTAATACGAAACCATTCCGTAATTAGTAAAGTACATATTAATTCTCAGAAATGATTATAGCAGAAAAATATGTGGAAGTATAATGCGCCCTACAACCATGTTCAATCTGATTGGATAATTTAAATACTTTCAAATTGAATTAAATTTCGGTGATGGTGATGGATCAAACCTCTGTAGAGAAAAAGAAGTTATAGATGTTAGTTCCACATTAATTGAAAATATATTTCGATCTAGGTTAACCCTCGTCAGTTCTACCCGACAAACCAAATTTCGTTTCTAGAACGTTACAGAAACGTTATGTAAGGTAGCGTTACGTTATGGCTTCGTTTTCCTGATACGTAAATGCTACGTAAAACGAACCACTTTTTACGTTACTGAAACGTTTTCCAGTAACGTTTCCCAGAAACATTTTAAGATCGTAAAAAATTTGAACTATTAACGTTTTAGTTACCTAAAACATTAATAAAAAACCTTTCAAATTTTGTTTAAAAATGTTCAAATGCAAAAAAAAATCTGAAGAAAAAATCTTATATACATATATATACTTAGTACTTCCCTTAATATTCTATATAGAACACTAAATATATCTTACTAATATAGAGAACACTAAATCCTTATCCTAAATCTGTAGAGAACAGTATATACTTATCATGTCTTTGTTTTTCATATTTAAGAGAACACATACATACAGTGTAATGTTATGTACTGTAGAAAAGAATAAGATTAAAAATATACAGTAAATAAAAAATCATTGAAAATACTCCACTATTAAATAACAT